TATCTATAACAGTTCGTACATGTTTTTTTTTTCTAAAAAAATCAACAAAAAGGTGTTAATGTCAGTAATTTATGATCAAATCATCTTTACATGAATAACCAATCTCCCGACCGTAGCTGCTACCTTGACGTGGTGGTCTGGCTTGCCTATCGTGATGGCCTAACCGAGCTATATTGTCTGGAACATATGTTCCTGAAGGTTCTACCATGCCAGGCAGGTAGTTTGAATACATCATTAAGGGATACAAGTCAAATTTTCTGAAGATATCATTAAATTTCACCTCTAAGTCATATTGTTTAGTACGAACAATATACAACAGGTTAGATTGAAATTTGCTAGCCTCTTGTCGAAAATATCACATGTCAATAAATAATAGCTGTTTAGTATTTAAAATTAACTTCTTGACTTCTATAATAAACTGTAGAATCAGTCAGTCAGTCAGTTGCAACGTAGAACTTCGTGCGTATGTACATAAGTTCATGTTGCCATACCACAGCAAACTGTAGAATGAATTTAAACAATTCAATAGACAGACAGACAGATACAACGCAGAACTTCGTGCGTAAGTACATCAGTTCACGTTGCCATACCACATCAGCACACAAACGCAACTGTCAGTTCAAATCCAAGAGTGATAGTGATAGTAGAAGTATTGGGAGTAATGCAGAAGATTAGAGAGCGAAGATATGATTCGAGAAGTATAATTCAATGAGATAAATTTAGAAGGAGAAAGGTAGAGATTATGAGAAATTCAGAAGGTTAGAATTTCATAGAACACAAAGAGTGGATGCACCTGCGCCATAGCAAACGATTCTGAGCCATGTAGTTCAAGGTCTCTAACTATTGGTGACATTCGTCTCGTGGATCCCAACCAGATAGCCTACATCTACCAACATGACTCAGTCCACTTGTCAGTGATTTCATGCCTTTGTGCCATGTTTTGGTCTGGCCACCCCTAGCTTTCTTCCAACCTACTCCTACACCACAAAACATAGCTCATCGAGGCAGTCGTTGGTTAGCCATACGTAACACATGTCCCAACCACCTCAACTGACAAAGTTTGACCACTTCATCTATTGATTTGTCATTCCTACCTAGAACTCGTTTCCTAACAACAGCATTGCCTATACGGTTGTGCCATGATACACGAGCAATGCTTCGGATAAATCGATGAACTAAGACTAGTAACCTACGAAAGTCCTCTACTCTTAACGGCCTTGTTCGCATCCGTACAGTAGGACGGAGCGAACAGCTGCACAGTACACTCGTCCTTTGGTTAGCAAACGGATATTTCGCCTGCGCCATAGGTGACGCAGGTTGGCAAAAGCCAACTGAGCCTTCTATATCCGTGCTGAGATTCCGTCATTCACCAGGCCATCAGCACTGATGAGACTCCCAAGATAAATGAATCGGTCTACACGCTCGACTACTTCACTATCTATCACTAGTTCAGGTACCGATGCAACCCATTCTTGAAGCAACATTTTGTATTTCGGGAGGGGGTGGGTAAAACCACATCTCGAACATGCTTGCTTAGGGTAGTCAGATTATACAATTAAATATTATTTTTCTAACTATTTTATTGATTTTTACATATTTGGGGAGCCATAATTAATTAATTAATTAATTAGTTAATTGACTAATGTAAATTGTGAACAACTGTTGGAGCCTTTACACTGTAAATGAATATTTTTGAAAAACTGAAGAATAAGTTCCACCAGTTTGTTTTTTTAATTCTTCTAGTCACTAACAATACGAATTAATAATTACAGTCAACCTAGTGGTGTCCTTGGCTTTTAAATTCGTATTTATTACGATAAATTTCTACAGTATTAGTTACTTGTTACCATATGACACGATTACAACACAATTCTTCTGAATGACTCAATGGAATGACAATCAACAGTTAGATTTACATTGTCTTGTATAATTTATAGACTGAAAAATATGATTATCACTGTTCCTCATGATGGTGTGCTGGTGGTATTTTATAGAGGCGTTGAGTCAGATCGAACGAATCTAAACGTTCTGCTTAGTTTAATTAAAGTCTACAAGACGTTAAATTCAAAATATCGTTTTTTTCTTCAGTTGGTTGTAGTTAGGTATTTTGGACGTAAAACATTATGGAATTGCAATTATTTGAAAGCTTAATTCTAACTGCCTGCTCAGTCAGTCAGTCAGTCAGTCTTTATCATTGTAGAGCTTAGCACATGTGCTGTGGCTCAAGTTGCTGTATCATATTAGCACAGTAAGATGAAATTAACAAGATGAATGTCAAAAGAAATTGGGGTAATGTAGTACCGGTGTTAAGGGCGCAGAATGACTAAATAGAGAGGTATTTATAGACAAATACTGGGGTTCAAGGTCGAGAAGAAAAAAACAGGAGTGAATGCGTCCACGCCATTGTTAATGGCTCTAAACTGTGTTACCAGAAGCTTCAGCTGACTGATTTCAGTATTCATGTAGGCCCCAACAAGATAGTTTGCATCTACCGGAATGGCTGATAGAAAGAGTGAATAAATTTATGGACTAATTCTTGTTTTGGTTAGTTCGCTCATCAAACACTGCTTATTGAGGCAAACCATGAACAGGAATATATAACACACTTCAGCCGTTGAAAATTCCTTATCTCATCAACCTTTTTCGCACCTTCACCAATTACTCTATGCCTAACTTCGAAATTGTCTACTTTATCATTCCATAAGACGCTAGCGACGCTAACGATTCAAAGACACCTATAATCGAAAATCTTCATCCTACGCACATCTTCTACTTCTGAAGGCCATATGATACAGAGCATACTTCCACAGGGTTCACTATTCGATGACATTCACATTGAATGTTTAAACTACCATACTTTTTCTAGATAATCTTTATTTTCAACTTTGTTAGTATACCGCATGCAATCAATCGATCAGTTGTTTTGTGCTTTTTAATAGCATTGTTTTAATTCAACTGATGTTACTTCTTAGTAGTTAATAATTAATCTGTTAACTAATAATTATCTAAATTAATTAAATATCTATCTGTTTAGCAACTGAATTCGGTTAACTTTTCTTTAAAGAAAAAAGTTAACAAGCTTTTAAACGCCACCTCATCTATCTATCTAGTTCAGTTTACGGTAGTTAGTTAAATAGTATTATTCACCTTGATGCAAATATAAAATTTATAGTTAGAAACTAAGATAGATAGAGATGTATGAAGGCTTGCATGCTTTTAGTGAAGTAGATAGAGATGTATGATGATGTGAGGAGAATAATGCATGCAGAAATACACCTTATCCAATGTTAGTTTAATTGAATGAGTTACATGCATAGAAGAATCAATGTCTGGTAAAAAAAAATATACAATTGCTTTTAATTTTTCTCACTTTTGTTTTTATTTTATGCTTATGTATTGACTACTGTGTATTAAAAAAAAAAGCACTTTTAATATTTATTCAAATGATTATAAAATTTCATTACTTATGATCATGACTAAAAGGCGAAAGGTCACATTCAGTCATGATGATGATGATGAATTTAAAAAGTATCATCTTCATTTATATACCACTACTTATTCAATAAAACGACCTTTGAATCAATAACAAATTGACTAACTGTTAAAACTGAAAGTAACTCATAGATTTGTACTTTCTATTAGTATAGTAGTTATCCAACGTGTTTTTTAAGCTTAGTTTTAATTTAAAAGTATAAGAAAAAAAAATAATGGTTTCACTTTAAAAGTTGTAACCTTCCATTTATTATTCTAACATCAGTGTTCTAACATTTCTTCACTTTCACGACTAGTCCTTTTGGACAATTATTTACTTGTTCATACAATACAAAGTGAGATATCCGTTCGCTGACCAAAAGACGAGTGTACTGCGCAGCAATTCGCCCCGTTCTCCTATATGTCTGTGAAACATGGCCGTTAAGAGTATTTTCGTTCATAGATGTTTAAGAGGTATGCTTTGGTGTAGGAAGGATTTGATTTTGACCAATTTGGTCTCGCGTGCTGTTACGGGTATGAGGGCGGTTGTCACTTCCCGGCTGCCCACACCGTGGAAGGTTGTTTCTTGAGGGACCTGAAAAGGAGGATGGATTAGTGTTGGTGCGTGACCGCAGAGCCCAAGGGACAACTGATTGAGGCCGGTCACGCACGGCCTTTTTATGAAACGTTTTTTGAGGATTAGCTCCGTTCTTAAAGGCCCAGTGGGCACCCTTACCCAAGGAGACGGAAATCCGTGAGTTAGGGGGAGTGTGACATTTTTAGGGCCGACCTTTTCTAACCCCTTCTTTCCTTTTGAGAAGGCAGCATCGCTGCAGATGCTGGTTGTCCGAGGGAAACACCTTACTGCTGTCACACCCCTCTGCAGTCAGCAGCACGACTTCGCCGCCAGACCTTGAGTCGCTGCTTTAACTCACACA